GTAGAGTGTGCGGACATTGAGTGCGGCTAAGTGGAAAAGAGATTTTGGTTTCAAAAATCTGATAGCCTCTGGGTGGTTGACCTTATTAGTTGAGCGCTGAGTGATATGCGATGGATCTCGTAAGCAGGAGGCACTTGATGATATTTGGGATTGAGAAGGACTAGACAGATGTGAAAGATGGTTTTCCACATGGGTATCCAAGACTTTAGGGCACGGCATACTTCGCGGTAGCCCACACAATATTTGATAGAACAGGAATCAATCTAAAATACCAGCCAAGTAATCGCTATGTTCAGAGAAAGGCGATACGAGAAGTTCATCCTCAAAACCTAATAGTTCGCTTCTCATATAACTCATGGATTGTGTGATCAACAACAGTCAACCGTTCGATAGCGGGCAGTGTTAATTCTACTCTTCATAAAATCAAATAGTTCTGTCCTATCCAATGTATGTTATCATGACTCGCAATACGAGTAAACAGCAAGATAGAAAACCGGTGATCATGGCATTTCAATCGCACCTGGTGAATACACCAGTGGCCAGTGACATTCCAGTCTGTCTCCACGTTGACAGACGACCGGGAGAGCAAGAGGAAAGAAGTCGAAGTCACACGCACAGTCGGATCTCACGGGAAGAACACACGAGTCAAATCCTCTGGAATATTCACCACCGTTTCGTGTTCTCTATACACCGCTTCGCGTAGTTAGCGAAACGTCAAACTCGTTCATCTCTGAGTTAGAGTAGACGAGTGATTTTTCACGTCGTTCTATTTGGATTTTACTATAACAAAGACTGTTCCAGGCAAAACAGAGTTTGAGCCGAATTTAACTGGTTTTGTAGACGTTCATACCAGCGTTCAACTATCGTAGACAGCTTTGCTGCGGGGAATTCGATACAGCGCCGAATTGAATTTGGAAGCTAATTTTACCTACGCAACTCAAGTACTGAATATGCATTTTTATCCAGCAGTCATGTATTCTAAATTCCCAATGGTAGATGAGGATGAATACCAAAATCTAAAGTAGTTTCACGCATCCATCAATCAGTAACAGATCAACATGGATCTAAGCGAACTTATAACCACAGCCAAATGCTACAGGAATGAGGAACGAAACCGTTGAATATTTTTTCCACAAATTAGATGATGAGAAAAATTTGATGTCCACGACGACAAATACTTTCCTCTATGGAAGATGGCACGAGCTATCATGGAAAAGAGTTCCACGGCATCGATGAGCGCACAGCCTACTCACCATCTCAGTTGAGTTCTCGGGAGTAGGCCGACCTAAACATCGAGATCAATCGCCGCACAAAGTCTTACAAGCCATCCATGGAATCCTCGATCAAGAGCCTTTTCCAAAGGAAACACTTCATTGTACGGTAAGCGATAAGTAAACGCGTATTACCAAATTTCAGATGTCTTCACATTCATCTCGATTAATGGTGTTTGGTCCAGACAACCGTTGACCCCAAATGGTCATTGCCCAGATGTATTTGTTGTTGTTATTCGAGAAGTAAACAAAGTGGTAGGTTGAAAAAGCTATGCTTCAGAGAATAGTTTTATGTCTGGGGTACACACACCCAGTGCACCTGATGAAGCCGTCTAAACCATTGAGCGGAAATTATATCTGAACGATCGAATCTGAGACTTATTGTACGCTTTTAAAATTAGGATTGATAAACTGCATACCAAACAAGCAACGATAAATGCTCTGAGCTATTTTTCATTACACATTGTTGGGCTCGGAAAGGCAATATCTCACGGACCACCCCAGATGACATGGAACTATTCTGTCAGCGCGTGGAGCCTAGGATTGTGCAATTTCACACTCGACCTTATTCATCAGCGTAATTGTTACATTCCTCCAATGTCGTTTTTAATCACACTAATTGTACATGTTTGAATCGGTTTCATTTCGAAAGGCAAATATCTCTCGAAATTGGTTCTGATCGCTAACAGACTGTTCCGCCATATCTCGAGGTGGACCCCGGTAAGCCACCACCACCTGTAATCTGGCAAGAGATTATGGAAAGATCTCTCATAACCAGCTCACTAGTTTTTTATCGGTATAGGTTTACTCATTACATCAGTCACGATACTTGTTCAATAATTTTCACGCCTTTGATCGATTGGAGCAAAGCCGGGATGCAGGAACATCCAATGCATTAACGCATTACGATAAGAATCAACAATTTGACGTGTCCAACGAAGAGAAAGCCTATAATCTATTTTGGAACGAAGAAAGACTTGTTCATCTTGTTCTTTTCTCGTTCTACCTCGGTCCCAAAATGTTGCACTAAGAGAAACACAAGGCGAAGAAAGGATTGAGGGGAAACAAAAGCATCCAACAGAACGCACGCACACACACAGATCGTGCTGCGTTGTGTCCAACGCACGTGTGTCTCCAATGCCAAGATAAAGGAAGGACAGGAGGTAAGTGTTTCAAAGACCAGAACAATTTCAGAAGTGAAAAAAATCACGAGTGCATCCACACAAGGATTCCATCATTGTCGATACAGCAACATATTTGCTTCAAGCAACTGTGAAAGAGCGATTCACTGGGGGAAACTGGTGACAGGATGGTCTGGTGTGAACAAAAAAGCTCAGTTCGGGCTGAAAGAGAAAGAAAAACAAACGAAGATCGCTGTGGGCTGGGACTGGTGTGCGTGTGTATGTTATACAAGAAACGCATGGGTATGTAAGGCAAGACGACGAATCGAGTCTTTGGAGTGTTCGGATCGTGAAGGCGATGAATTGATGTCGTGTACTGCAAAGCTAATGAGTCTTCTAGTCGTAGACTGTGATCAAACAGATCACAAGTAAATGGGGTTCTATGACTCATGTATTGGGCTTTGTTCATCTGTAACGTAATAGGCCATGAAATAGGCATAAGCTTTGAAGGCGACTAGCGAGAACAAAATCAAAATAATATGTACACAGTTGTGATGTCAGACCTTGGTCGCAGGACACCAACCGCTGGAATGTGCGGTTGGCTGAAAACACGCAAACATACCAATTACACGTATGTGCATACACAAACACACGCACAGATGAACAGGCGGGCATACCGGTACATACTAACTGCGACAGCATGAAAATGAGAATCACACAGTAATATAACAAAACAGCAAGTGAAGAGAAACAATGACGGTGAGTATGAAACAAGCAAGTGGTTCGGGGTAGTGGTCGAAAGAGCAGCAGATAGAAGGAAACCTGACACAAGAAAGGACTTGTCCATCGAGANTAAATCTACTTGGAAAGAGAGTGGGCTGTCTGGCGGGGGAGCGGTGGGTGCCAGGATAGGTGTGATATCGATGGATCGAATACCGGAATTTCGGTACAGGAGAACATAACACATAGCTGGAAGATAAGACGACAGTCGGTTTGCATGTGCGTGTATGGAGGCAGCATGGGGAAGAGGGGAGGGGTGGTGAGACAAGGTTAGACGCGGATGATCGCCACATAAAAATGCACGCGATAAACGGCAACGACAGTTAGAACATGTCGCGTTCAAGATCAATCATCAGTCCGCCAAAGGATGAATGAATGAACGAGCCGGTGAACGAGGTGCCCAACAGACGTGTGCAACAGCAGAAGCAGGCCGATGAAGCGATCACATGCGTAGGAATGAACGATCTAGGAGGCACAGGAGCAAACCAATCCCTGCAACCGTCCATACCCATGGCTGGGATTTAGGACTTGGGCAGGTGGATGGCGCAAAAGTTGTTGGGTGGAAGACTGACATNGGTGGTCGGGCTGAAGCGACTTGAGTCAAAGCCGGATTGGAAGAGGAATTCGGTAGGGCTTTGAGGTCCCGGATCTGTTTGATCAGATATTCCTTTTCATGAGTGAACTGGCCATCGTCCGTACGTTCGTTTTGGAATTTACTTAGAAAACTGATTAGTTTCTCTTGGTTGCGGAACAGAATCATATGCACAGATTGAGGTTTGTTCGGATTGGCCACGAAAACCTGAGGATTCAGGGGATGAAGATGGAGGAGATAAAAGGAAAGGACATATATGTTAGAAAGTTCGTTCGACAAGCAACGGTTCACATTGGGAAATTATATTGCTGTCTTCATTTGAGACTGCAACCATGCTCTTTGCGCACTGAACAGTGGTCCCCGTAGTTATGTGGCCCTCACTCAGTCCTTAACTTCGGTTATTGATTTTTTTGATCTTGCATTTGTTCGGAGTAGGACAAAGACACATCCCAACAACAAAAATGTACTTTCATCTGATGAGAAAGTCATACAGTGAGATTTTCAATCAAGAAGGTGCCTGGTCAACTGATGCAACGTATCGCCTCTCCGATCACTCACGACCTAGCGAAGGCTAAATACTCACGGACGATCCCCGAAAAAATGATGCTTGAAAAAAGCGAGCAATCTTGAGATATCTTCCAAATGAACCATCTGCATGACAGATGGATACTACTGTTCGAGCATTCGCCGACACATGTGATGCATGTAGTTCACCGATGTACGTCGCCCTTGTACTAATGATGAGTTATAAAATATATCTCGCTTTGCATCTTTCCGGTACACAAGTCAAGTCAAGTCAGTAGTAGCTTTATGCACCCGGATGGGTGTATTTTCAGCAATTACGCCATGTTTGTGGATTCAAATTTACAAAATCGTACATAGTGAACACAATGAAAGCAGTAGATATTGTGTTTCTCAATAAAGCAAGCAATTGCGCAATTCTGTGCAAATTGTGTCCTTGTCTATAAGTAGACGTGGCAGAAAAGAACTGCGATAAGCACAGGTACGTGCAAATGAAAGTTTAAATCTGGAGCGTGTGGATGATGTAGATACAGCTTTTGAAAATTCATTGTGTAATGGGTGGTGAGTGTCTGACAGTATTTTGGCGGCGAAATTTTCACATGCTTGTCGGTGTCTGTCAATGATGGAATCTGCCAGTTTATCCCTGACAATGCCACTACATTCAGAGATATGTTTTAGAGCTCTCGCCAGTAAATAAAAGTCTTTCTTCAACATACCGGGAAAATTACTGGAGAGCAATACAACCAGTGGGGTAGCACGCACGCATTCACAAATCTAACAATCAGCTTGTGGGGAACAGAAAGTAATCTCAATCGGAGTGAGAAATATGAAAGCTTTCTAACTTTACAGAATGTGTT